AGTATTGTGAAGCTGGAACTTTCAAAGTAATCTGGCTGGGGCATTCTGATCATAAATCTTCAATTTTCCTTACAAAGTAAACATATTTACACCAATTAGCCTTCATTTACCTAACTAAATGCCAAAGTTCTTAATCACAAAATATGCACATTTTCGCTAAGATAGATGCAACATCATGCACTTTTCATCCTAAATAACCCTCAACTACGCATGCAAATTTATTCTTTTTAGCATTTAATTAACGCTTATCATTTCTCTTTTTTACCCGTTATGTATTCCCCCCATCCCCATAGACTTCGCTTCGTTTCAGGGGGGTTTCTTGTTGTATTATGTGAAAATAGCACTGTAGTCCGAGTTCACGTTTATAAATAGAGTTGTTATTCTTCTTTCATCTCTCTCTGAATTTGTTGGCCACCATTTTCGAATTGCTTTCTCTTGTATGACTTGGAAGGGTATATGAAATGCATGTTGAACTCTATTTATGGTTAATCTACTCTTTTTTAGTAGGTTGTGAATGCTTGGGAATGAGATTCACCTAACTATGCTTAATAAACTATTTTAATGCTCGATTGAAGCAACGAAAGTTGTGACAATCGTGTTTGGATATCTCGGAAGAGAGCCAAGTCTGTTTTAGCATCAACTAAATTTGTGAGCAAAGAATTATAGTACGAAATCTCCCTTGTTCCTTTTTACTGCTAGCTTATCTCCCTTGCGTGTTCACATCTCTTGTCCCAGCATTTCTTTTCGCATTTTAATCATCTTTGCTGTTACTTGTGTTTTCTTATCGATTTCTTTATTGCTATGTAGTTAATCTGTTCAAGTATTATTAGTTTGATCTGATTGGTATTCTTAGACATATTTCATAGTATTTGCTCAATCCCTATAGATTTCGACCTTGTTTATGCTACAATTAACATTATATTGTACACTTGCACTTAGTCTAAAGTGATTGTGTGAGCCTGCAATAGCCCCACCTTAACTGTCTTAGTTAAGTACCCAAGCTCATTCCTGCGTTCTTTCTTTAGCTTTTCTTTAAGTTTTTACAACTCGCTCTCCCACGATCCTATGACTCCCTAATTTGGTGGTATGCCATTAATGTCAAGTCTTCGACTTTGAAGAGCATCACTTCCATTTGTGATTTAAGTCGGGTGTAGCTGTTGGCCAACTTCTTGTTCAGCTTATTCCTTCAGTCCCTCAGGGGTATTAAACCTCTTCGAGAGGTTCAATAGTCATCCATGGTTGGGCCCTTCCCTTTCATTATCTCTTTCTCTTTTGTGTTTGGTGGCTACCCCATTGGTTTACTATTGACAAGAGAAGAGCTTGTCCACCTTCTTTATCTGCTCCTTCAAGCCATTAACATAGACCTGGGGCAAGGCCACAATCCCATTCTCCTACCTCTTTTGGGTCAAAGTATTCCTTATGGCTTTTTCCCCTTGGGTTGAGGTGGGAGTTCTTTCTCTATCAGTTGGTGAGGCGAGCAATAGTTGTTTGTCAGCAAATCACCTTCCGTTGTGCAGTGCGTTCGTGTGGCGTTGGTCACACTGATGGAGCCTTTCGAGGAGCTTGTTTTTTAGTCAACAAGTCTTAATTTTAGATGATTGGAAGATAGATCACTTGTTTTGTTAGTGTTTCCCACATATGACGTCATATGTTCATGCAGGATTCTGGATGGTATGACAAATCAACTTCATACTTGAGACACACACTTAGTCAACTGTACTGAAGACCTGTACATAGAATGTTGCACTAGTGTGATGCTTCACCACATACAATTCGAATCTTAAGTTAGAACTTAGTCTAAGTAGGTGTGAAGTTGAGCTTAAGTAGTTTGCATAGAGACGACGTACAAAGAGCGGACTCCGCCTTTTATAAGGGGAGCTTTTTGAAGCATTACCCAGCCTTTCTAGCTTCATACTTGACAGAGCGAATTTTCCACTAGTGACCACCAGATCTTCTACCAGCAATATCAGCGTCCCCAAGTCGACTTAGAGCTAGGTTCCTGCCTTGGGGCAAGAGAAATTTGACCAACTCCTCACTACAAGAATTATGAATTTTTTCCTACGATTTTATTCCCAACACTAAGAAAGTCGTCGGACAAACATCTTTTTCCCGACTAAAGAATAATAGTCGGGACTTTGGCCGACTATTGGCTAAAATAGTCGGGAAAGGAATACATCTCCTGACTCTTTTTATAAACTTTCAGGCTATATTGTTCTTTCATCCTTTTTAAAATAATATGCTCTTGACTATTTTTAAGAATAGTCGGGCGAAGTTACTCTTACCGACGTTTTTGCATAATAGTCGGGTAAAATTTTGTTTTTATATATTACCAGTCCCAACGGTTTTCAAAATAGTCGGGAGATGTTTATATTCTCGACTATTTTAATATATAGTAAGGCAATATTATTCTTAATTTTTTTTTTTTAAGAATTGCCACTCCCGACTATTTGTATAAAAAAAGTTGGGATAAATGGACTTCACAGTTTACACCAATATTTTAATAAATTATTGGGCTATATTGTTTTTAATTTTTTTTCAAATATTACAAATCCCGACTATTTCTAAAATATTCGAGAGATATTAATATTCCCGATCATTCTAAAATAGCGTTGGTAATATTCTTTTTATATTTTTTTTAGATATTACAACTCCCAACTCTGTTTAGAAAGAGTCGGAAGAAGTACTTGAGGCACATACATGCATATTTAGAGGGCCATATGATACGCTCTAACATTCAACCAATACTAAGATGGGAAGAGATATGATGACTTGCTATATGATCTCAAATTTATCTACGTGAGGGAGTCTTAAGATTAAAAAATCTCATCTCTACAAGGTAGAAGTCCTAATCATGCAAACAAATTTTGACCTATGTAGAACTTTATTTTTTTTCAAAAAAAAAAAGTACATTATAGTTGAAATTGAGAATTCTGTAAAGACAATTCAAAATGTGTATTTACATTAAAAATGAAATAATATGGTTAGCCTAAGACAAAAATAGGACATTTTAATATGTAAAAAAATATGAAACTATGGACACCACGTGTCTGAAAACGAGGGAACTGTGTCAATCATTGAGACCAATTCTGAATTATAGCGTGACAATGACGTGGTATATTATATATTTGGCATTAAGTTTATTTTATTTATTTTTCTGAAATTAGCAGTAAGTTTATTAGACCTGCAAAAAAAAAAAGGCATTGCAGGGGAGTGGGACCCATAATGGTAATGTTTCAAACTTTCCAAGTCACGTGATGACCAAAGGGAAAAGGTTTCTATTTTTGTCTGATAGCACCTCAAATCAAGGTATTAAATATATTTCTACAGTTAAATCTGATTTAACTAGTTAAATCGAACATAGTTCAAGTGGTTAAGACAAATCTTTGACTAAGAGGTCATGAGTTTGATCCCACCTCCGTTGACGAATATTTTTAAACAATTTTAGTATTTATTATATTAGTAGGGGTGATTTTTTGTTAATATATATATGTATGTGTTTGGCAATTTACACTATACTAAAATATTTGGCAATTACACTATACTAAAATATTGACTGAATCTTAATATCAATTTTGAATTCTTCAATTTAATGGATAATAGTAATAGAGATTTTTTTTTCCTTGACATTGATATATCAATAGAGATATGAATCAAATTGTTGACAAATATTTTAATTTTCGGAGAGACTTTTACATAACCCTCCATCATTAAATTGAATAACCTTTTCATTAAATTTGGTTGAAATTTTTTAATGGTATGTTTGTAATGTTCTATCAGCTTTTTTATTATAAAAAATAACTACGACTAACTCATAAAGTTTTTGAAGTTTTTTTTTTCAAAAGAATATGGTTAAATAATTGTAAAAAATATTTTATTATGAATATTAAAAAAATTACCTTTAAATAACATTAAGATGTTCTAATTGTTGTTATAATTAATTTAATTATGATAAGCACAATTTAAAGATTAAATTTTAATTCAAAAAGGTAAACTTAGATAAAGCTTAAACCTTAGTTATACTAAAATGTTTCTATATAGATAAGATTAATAGGTATAATAAATCCTTTATTCAATATAAGCATAATTAATATTATTAATATTAACATATTAATCTTTCATTTAATAAAAACATAATTATGTAATTAATACGTTTAAATACTATTTTGATCAATGTCATATTTTTTGATTTGGTTCATTTTGGTTTACGTACTTTCAAAACATTCATTTTGGTCTATATACTTTTAACTTTTATTTATTTTAGTCTCTATACTTTCGAAATGTACGTTTTTGTCTCTATACTTTTAAAATGTATATGGATCGGTGTGTGGGGGTTAGCTAAATGCTCTTCAATACGTAAGTTAAATGAGGGAGTAATGAGTATGTCGAGCAAGGGTTGTTTGCAAGAGTTTGCATACATTGGAGAAGCGTGTGATATGAGTGTGAGATTCTGACATTTTGTACTTTGTACCTGTCATTATATATAGGGCACGATGACATAACGGAAGATTTCAAACACTTAATCAATCGTCTTTCTGCTGAATGTCAGCATATAATGCGCTAACATATATCATATTCAGGTGAAAGTCAAGTCAAGTGCTTGGTGCTCTTCCACTCTCCCATCCACCTCGCCTTCGGGTACTCGAGCTTAGGCCCAAGTACATGTGTCTAAATGGGAGTATGCCATGTGGAGCTTCAAATTTTTACCAATAACAGGTGATATTTTATGTTGATGCAGAAATTTGGCCTCCTAGGTTCTCACCAAATTCGCATCAAATTTTGATAATCATGAGACTGATAACCCTGCAAAACCGAACAACACTAAACTGGTGTGACTCCTGTCACACGGGTTTCGATGGTTAAGTTAGAAATGGAGAAGTCGTATGCAAAGTACGGGAGATGGTTTTGGCATACCTCTAGGGTTTAGCATGTTGTTCTATTTATAGGAGTTTCTCCATTAGGATCTTCTTGGAGATCTCTCGTGTTGGACTTGTCTAACCTACCGTTGATGGAGTTGTGGAGTCATGGAGGTCCTTGGACTAGGCCACTTCACTTGACTGGAGAAGAAGGAAGGAATTTCCTGGCCATTTGGCTGAGCCCTGCTCGACACCGAGCATGGGTCGGGGATAAGCCCTGGTCGACCCATGTGGTTTGGGCCCTTTGGCCTTTATTTGACTGTTTTGTGTAATTGGGCATCTTCGACGATTGATCTAGACCCACTCTTTCATCGTTGACTGAATCTCATCCCATTTTAACTCATAACATTTTCTATTAAGGATTCTTTGAATGAGAGCATTGAATTGATTTTGGGAAGAGAAAGTAAATTATGCATATTGCAACTAGAGGCTTGAAAGGCAACTAACTTGTTCACTACTTGGTTGTTGTCACGTTAAACAAAGGCTTGGAGGTCCCAACTTTTGAAGCATATCTGGTTCATTGAGCTTATATAATTGAGGCTCTAGTGTCTCTTGGCATGATGAAGCAACACAATCAATTTAGAAAGTAAAGATAAAGATGATAGTTTTTAGTATCAAACTATAGATGTCAAATACTCCATGGTGAATTTTGATTGTGAGAATAAGTATGAAGGGAAGAAGGGGGAAGAAAGAGACGGGGAAAAGTCATGTCAACCAATTCAATCGGCAAATATATGTATGTACTAAAATTTCCATTTTATCAGAGTATTTAACGAGCAAGTTAACCATCAACATTATATTTTTTCGTTGGATCAAGTTACACTAAACTGTAGTAAAAGATTACTTGAAACTATTTTTCAAATCTCAATAAATAAAATGTCACTTTTTAAACTTTCGTAGACTATATATAAATCAAACTTAAAGTTCAGGAATCAAAAGTATAATCTGTGATAGATATAGTTATAATTACAATTTCAACTAAACTAGACAAAATAAAAAGACATTACCATCCATGTTATCCCTCCTTAAAACTAGGAGCTTAGAAAAAGGAAGAATAGTTAAAAGAAAAGTTTTGTAAAAAATGTATAATAATAGCTCATTAAATGGTAATTAAGTTTAAAAATCAAATAGATTTGATAATCAAAATGAGATCTCAATATAACAAATTTTTAGAATTCAAAATTTGAAATTTGAATATTGTCTCATATAGTTAAAGGGAATAAGAAAATGGGAAGCATAAAATATAATATAAATTAAAGCAAAAAGTCAAAGTTGTAAATCATTTTGAAATGAAAGAAATACATAAAAATTCAACCAAAAGGTCATAACACGACAATTTTTTAAAGTTCAATCATCTATTTAAAAATAAAAATCCTAATTTATTTTACAAATCAAATATTTATACTCACAAATATATAATAAAATAACAAAATCAAATTCTTCGATTAGCTAATTTTAATTAGACCGATACATATGTCATACACATAGAAAATATGATACATAGCGAGATATTCGAAATTATTCTTAACTATATAATTTAATTTGTAAAATAGATTCAATGACCATAGAAGTGCAATTTACAATTATTCTAAAAGAGTATTGCTATGGTTGAAAAATAATGTTTATGAGATTCCATATATTAAAAAAAAAAAGCAACAAAAATGATAAACTTTTTTTTTTTTTTTTKGTGAAAAAAGGAAAAAAGTGTAATGGGAGGATTCATTTGAGTGGCTGCAAAAGCAATAAAGAAACAACATTTTGAAAAACTTTGTCTTTGGTAGTGGAAAGGTTTTAATTATTTATTATTATTCTTTTTACAGTAAGAAAATGTTTGAATTTCAAAGGAGGCTATGATTGCATTATTTTTAAATATCCTATCCAATATCAAGCAAATTCTTTAAGAGTAACTTATATTAAAAAATGATATGACGCATTATTATAATTATTATATAAGCAACAGCTGATTTAACTTTTTTTTTATTATTTATAAATTGTAGGTTTAAAAATAGGTTTGGTTTGGAATAACGATTTAGTCCATATAACTTTTGATAATTAAATATTTCATAATCATTGCTGGTTTTTATTCTTTCCTTTTTAATGAAAAAAGTTAAAAAAAAAATAGACAAGGGTACATTCCATAATCCTTTGTGTTTTCTTTTTTAAATATTTTTAAATTAAAAAATTAACATTTTTATTTGAAAATAAATCTTATAAAAAAAAACACATTTGACGCCTGTACTCTATGGTGAAAAATCTCATCAAAATTAATAATCGATTTTTATCATGTAATGATTTAGTTTTGTAATTTATAAACAAATTGAGTTCTTTATTCTAATGAACCAAACTCAATCTGCTATATATGGATTGGATTGGGTTGTAAGGTTGTAGAAATTTTGAAGCCTTTCGCTCTTATTTAGTAAGAGATCGGAGAACATTGATATGCTTGGAACACAAACAACAACCCATGAGCGTGAACAACAATGGACGAACATAAACAACATCATACTTTACGAACTTGAACAACAATGCACACCTTAGCTCGAACACAACCACGCCAATGAAGAGACGCAACACGAATTCAATGACGGTGAGAGATTTGAAACATGAACGTCACGATTGAGGTGAGGCAGTGAGAGAAGAGAAAAAAGAGATGTGAAAATCGAAAAAACTTTTACGCAAAACCGAAGATTACAGAACCAAAGTTAACATATATACATATGTATATACAAGAATGAGACAGGAAATCAGAGTGCATAGAACTGCTCGAATTCATGCACATTATGCTATGCTTTTGAGGTCCCTATCTCATCTACTTCTACAGAAATCCTCTGTGTCTAAACAAAGTGATATTTCATAGCATTTTCTGTTACCTTTTTGAGTGCTGCTTGGCTATGTACTTGCGTTCTTCACTTTCTGTTTACGCTTCTCAGCTTTCTCAGCCTTCACATCCTTTTGTTTTAGCTTCTTCTGTACAACTTGCAACTGCTGTGGAGAGCCCCTTGCCTCGCCTTTTCTAGCCTCTCCCCCCAAGTGAGCGTATTATGGGGGACCGTCAAGCACATCCGGCAGATGGCTCTTGAGCTTCCGACGAGTTATCCGCGATTTTCATCTCATCCTTCTTCACTTTCGAACCCCTCGAGCCTGTTGTTTCCTTTTGTACATATTTGAGCTTCTGCTTGCACTGCAACTTTTGTGTAGACTCAGCCTTGTTATTGTCGATATTCGTTGTATCTTTCTCATTCTTCACATTATTTTGGGCTGTTGTTTCGTTTTTCGCTACCCCGGGCTTTGGCTTAAATTGAAACTTGTGTGAAGAGTCTTTAGCAGTTGACATGATAGGGGTAACTTTCATCTTATCCCCCGTCTTCGTATTATTTTCAGATGCTTTCTCTTTATGCGTTGACTCTTGCTTAGGCTGAAACTGCAACCCTTGTGAAGATCCTTTATCTGTTAACATGTCAACAACTTTCATCTTACCATCAGTCTTCATATCATTTTCGGATGCTGTTCTCGACTCGAGCTTAGGTTGAAACTGCAACCTCTGTGACGACCCTTTAACTGATGGCATGTTGCCAGCAGCTTTCATCTTATCCTTTGTCTTCATAACATTTTGGGATGTTATTTCCGACTCGAGTTTAGGTTGAAACTGCAACCCTTGCGAAGACTCTTTAGTTGTTGGGATGTTATTGACAACTTTCATCTTACCTTTTGTCTTTGTATCATTTTGAGATGCTGTTTTCGATTTGAGCTTAGGTTGAAATTGCAACTCTTCTGAAGACCCTTTACTTGTCGACATGTTATCAACAACTTTCATCTTACCTTTTGTCACCGTATCCTTTTGAGATGCTGTTTTCAACTCGAGCTTAGGTTGAAACTGCAACCCTTGTGAAGGCCCTTTAGTTGTTGATATGTTATCAACAACCTTCATCTTACCTTTTGTCTTTGTATCATTTTGAGATGCTGTTTTTGACTCATGCTTAGGTTGAAATTGCAACCCTTTGGAAGACTCTTTAGTTGTTGACATGTTATGGCCAACTTTTATCTCGTCCTGAGTCTTCATATCATTTTGAGATACTGTTTCCGACTCGAGCTTAGGCTGAAACTGCAGCCCTGGTGAAGGTGAAGGCCCTTTAGCTGTCGACATGTTACTCGTAACACTCGTCTTGTCCTCTTTGCCCTTCCTTTTTGTTGCTCTGCTCTTCCTTCTGGAAGCAGATGAAAGGCTGGTGCCCAGGCTTGTTTCTTTTCCCTTCTTTTTTGTTGCTCTGCTCTTCCTTCTGGAAGCAGATGAAAGACTGGTGCCCAGGCTTGTTTCCCCAACCATGTTTGAAGTGTTGTTCTTCTGTCTTCCACACTCCAACTTTCTCGAGAGTTCTTCAATTGATGTAATGAGTTCGGGATCACTGGAAAAAAAAAATACAGGTAAAGAACATGAAAAGATGAATACATTCATGACAGAAAGAAAAATTGAAAAAAAAAGGGAAGGATGAATATATTTGGTCTTGAGGAATTATAAAAATAGACTTCCCAATTGAGTAAATCAACATAAATATAACCCAGGTTCAGGGGGACTGTTAGTAGGCATAACATAATTAGCTTTCTTGCGTACAGATTGTATGCTTTCCTTTTTCTGTTTTCATTTGTTACCATTATTCTTTTACCTTATTTGTTCAGTCACTTCTTCAAAACTTCAAAAAGTAAAATTAAGGTTTAAATACACTATTTTGGTCTCTCTACTTTTAACTTTTGTTCGTCTTAGTCCTATATTTTTAAAACGTCTGTTTTGGTTCCTATGCTTTAAAAAGTGACAATTTTGATCCTATTTGTAACATTTTAATACAATGCAAACTCTATAATACAAATTTAGGGCTACGTTTCAAGAATAGTGAGTGAAGTGTCATGTTAAAATTGTGATAGAAATAAATAAGATAAAAATGAAATTGAAGGGACAAAAATGGTTCTCTTTTAAAAACATATAGGGCCAAAATAGACATTTCGCAAGTACAGAGAATAAAACAAACAAAAGTTGAAAGTACAGGGTTCCGAATGACCCAAAGCCGAAAGTACAAGGACCATAATAGTATTTAAATCTAAAATTAAAAGAGATGAAAACAAACTTTTGAATCCACTAACTTAAAAGCCAATTGAGCAGAAATCTACGGATTCAAAGGTGAGACAATTTCTATCAAGAATAATCAACATAAACAAGCAGAGTTCAGAGAACAATAAGAAGATAACTAGATAAGCCTCTCTTGATGATGATGACAAGCTATAGAATGAAACTCTACTCACCTCATACTGAGTGCAGGAGACATCTTCAGTTCATCAAGTATGCTTCTCACTCGAGAAAATTCGCTCTCTCTGTCAAAAGAGCCTTTCTGTCTGGACTTGGGCACTGAAGTATTTATGCAATGAACTTTTTTCTTCAATTTCATCTGAAATAAGATTTAGGAAAAAGATACAGCTTAAAGATATACGTTAAAAGAAAAGAACAGATAGCATTAAAATACAAGAAGTTACCTTCTTTGGGGCATTGGACTTGCTGCTCTTTGGATTTACCATATGAGTATTTTTTACCGGTTTCATGGAATCAGACGTTTTACTTGAGTTCTGTCTGATTGGAATTACTACACCATCGCAGCCGTCATCCGCATTAGCACTATGCAGAACTTGTGACGGTTTAGTGTTCAACGGAGTTGAATCATTGATAGGATCAGCTTTCTTCCTACCAGAATAAGCAGTTCCACAATTGTGGTCATCCATGGGATTCTTTGCAAAAAGCAATTTCCACACATCTTCCTTCCTGCAAGTGTTCTTCATTCTGATGGAAATGGCTGTGGGCGGTACAGGTTTCTTGCAGTTATCTCTTAAACATACTTTGACAAGAGGATTCTTAATCTTCGAAACTGCTTCTGCCATATAATTCAAGAAATGAAGGTTCGGCTTCTTTCTTTTCTTAAAGAGCTCAGAGAATGCTTCAGGTAACTGTGAATGCATATCAGTTTTACCAATAAAATCATAAAGCAGGTTATAATACTTCCCCAAATTGGCTGAAAGTAAACACATCATAATGACAAGTCTCAGCAGAAAAATGGGATAGTACTCCTTTGAGTTGATGTTGGATCTCTTAATCCACTCCCTTGCACCACAGTTATTGAAGAGAAGTTCATGAACCATTTTTGCTATAGAGTCAAACAAGTCTCCAGAAGATATTTCAGTATTCACCACGATTTGTCCTTGCCTGCCGGACAACTCCTCGCACATGAGCCACTCAACGAACGAAGATCGAGTGGCATAAAAGCATCCTTGAGACATTGATATCAGGACAAATTGACGCTCGACTATATACAGGAAACAGTTAGGTGACATGTAATCACACTCTTTCTTCCAGTTGACAAAAGTAAGCATCAAAGCCTCATGCAACTGATTGATTAGACCACCTTCTTCAGAAGTTTCATAAACTTTTCTAGCCATTGAACTTTCTGAAGTTTGTGAAGCTATCATGTGTCTTTTGAAAGCATCAATTACTGCCTTCCAATGTAACTTCACGTGGCATCTACTGGCAACCTTGTCATACAGTCCAGAAGTTAGCCTCCCTGAACCTAAAAGTGCCATCACCACCTTTCCGATCTTTTCATATGATAACTGACCCTTCGAATGAATGATTTTCAATATGACTGTTTCAATGACACTCCTAGAAAGTCTGGTTTCTCTTAAAGCAATCATATTTTCAGTCATTCGATCGGTCCAACAAAGACCAAAAACATTATCAAAGAAACAATCAGCATATGGTTCAAGATAACTTTGCAGTTTTTTGTTATCGTCAGGACATTTGGCAAGGTCGGATGATATCAGAAAGTTTGCAATCTCAAAGATACGAATGGCAGCTGAACTTTGACGAAATTTCGAGAAAGAATGCATGACGGAGAACCCATGAATGTCGCTTAAATGTTCCAAAACTTTCATACCGACAGAAAGTAACTCTGTGCTCCAATAACTCCTAGCAGCAAGAGCGAACTGTTCAACATTCATGCTCATCAGCTTTCCATTCCTCTGAATAGAATGAAGGCTGATATGCATAATCCAATCGGCATCAGTAAATAACAACTGATAAGTGTTCAGACAGTCAAACTGCTTCCTCATACCCAAGTATTTCAAACAGAACCCTTCATAAATTATGAACTCATCGACAATTTTGGTACCAAGGGACTCAAGATATGTTATTATGCCTGTAACATAATCCTTCCAGAGGTTCCAAAAGTGGGAAAGGGTTTCAATGGAAACCTGGCTCTGAGAAATTTTAATCTCCACATGTTTCAAGAGATCGCTGACTAATTCATCTTCCCAGTTGTATGATAAGGTATTTGAAGAAAGGTGAGCATCAAGAATTCGTCGAGCTGATAATATCTCACCACAAATGTTCTTATTTTCCCGGGAACTGCTCAAGTGATGTTTCATATCCAACAAACTATATATGCCATCAGATAGTATTTTGGTCTCTGAACAAACATTTCTGTGGAAGACATCTGAATGTAGCTTTGCAATTGATTTTGCTTTTGATAGAAGCTCCTCCTTTTGCTTAAAATGCTTCAAGGGCCATCCTTTGCTTTGGTTTGTCCATAGAGAGCTGGCTAGAACATGGAATAGAATGAGTTCCACAGCTTCCTCAAGTTGGTCAGCCCTCTCTAATAAATCAACTTCAAGCAGAAGATCCCCTTTCAGCCTTGCAGCGGCGGCAGCCTCCATAAAATTGCCAGATTTTTCTTCCAGTGATAAAAGCTCATCAAAGCAGCCCAAAGACTTCAAAAATAAACGTTTGGAATCTATGGAGTGAAAAGCTTCAACAAACTTCATCATTGTTCTTTCATCCTGAACCCTATGATAGTGAAGTGCACATTTTCTTAAAAAAGTAAGCTTCAAATCTTCCAACTCATCATGAATATTACTGAATAAACTATCTTGACCCAGATGTTGTTTGCAGCAGAGGATGAACTGCAGCCTGACATTGGTAAACTTTTGCACCAATGTCTCGGAGACAGATTTTAGAAACTGGGAATTCTTGAGAAAATTTCCAACTTCACAGAAACTAATGGCTATCATACTTTGATATAATTCAGAGAAGTTAGAGGCACTTGCAGAGAAAGTATAAAGGGCTATTAGTTTTTCCAAGACCTTAATTCCAACCGAAAGCACTTCTGAACTCCAATATCTCCAGCCAGCTGATGTAAACTGGCAAGTAGCAATGCCAATTAAACCACCATTCCGATGCAGGGACCCATTGACCGCTTCTGTAGTCCAATTAGCATCAGGATTGAGCAAAAAGTAGAGTGTTTCATGATTATTGTATTCCCTCCTCACTCCGAAGTAAGACAAACAAAAATCCTGTTGACTCTTGTAGTAATCATTTACATCATCTTCAATGTCAATAGAACATAGATAATCAATTACGTCAATGAGACTATCCTTCCAGAGATACCAGAAGTAAACCAATGTTTGGAAAGACACCTGATTTTTGGAGATTGTTTCTTTTGAATGCCTTTGTAGATCACTCTGTATCACATTTTCCCACGTGTAATTTGACACATTTAGTTTAAGATGAGCATCTAAAATCTTCCAGGCAGAAAGAATTACACCTTTGAAATTTTTATGGCCCTCAGAAGCAGTAAGATTCTGTTCCATCCCATCCAAGCCACTTATTTTGCATGATAAGATACTAGCCTCAACAGAAATCATGTCACAAAATTCTTCTGAGTCTTGTTTCGCAATTGATATTGTTTTTTCTATAAGTTTCTGCTTGTGCTCGAACTCCTTTAATGGCCAACCTTTGCTTCCAGAAGTCCACAGCGAGTTTGCATATATATAGAAGATGAGAAGAAAAGATGCCTCTTTATAGTTTCCCATCTTCTCTAGCGCATCAATTTCAAGAAGAAGGTTGCCTTGTGACCTTGCAATGGCCAGAACCTCTGGAAAGTTTTGTGCTTCCAATTCTAGTGTCCCAAGTTCATTTAAGTAGTTGAAAGACTTCAAAAATGAACGTTTCGAATCCATAGAACAGAAGGCGCTGACAAACTTTAACATGGTGCTGCTATCTTGTATTTCATGAAAAAGGAGTGCACAACTCACGAGATAAGATTGTGACTTGTCGTGAACAGCTTGAATTTCATTGGCCAGATCTACATTTGGAGTCTGTTGAAGTCTTAAAAATTGGATGGAATAAAGCCCCAAGTCAAAAATCATTCTCAGGTTCTCATAGTCAATGGATGACTTGATATAATGATCGTCTGTAAAGAACTTAGCCATTTCAAAAATATGAACGGCAGTGAAAGCTTGGAAATAAAATGAGAGAGAGCTCCTGACGGAGAGCATATGAAGATCTTTTAATTTGGCTAAAACCTTCAACCCAACAGAAAATACTTGTGAAAACCAATAACTCTGGGCAGCTGCAACAAATTCTCGAGAATTGATGCTACCCAAATTTTCATTGCCTTCAAAAGATACAGTCCTAGCCCATTCAGCATCAGGGTCAAGTAAAAGGAAAATACTGTTTCCGCAATTTAATTGCTTCCTTACACCCAAGTAATCTAGACAGAATTGTTCATAGCTTCCACAATCACTGATAACTTGGCTTTCAGGAAGTTGCAGACAATTCAATATGCTCAAGACATTTTCTTTCCAGAAATTCCAAAAGAAAACCAGTGTCTGAATGGAAATCCGGTTTAAGGAAATTGTTTTCTCCACATGTTCTCTTAAATCTGTCTCCGTTTCATTTTCCCAAATATATTTGGAGGCACTGGAAGAGAGATGAGCATCAAGGATTCTCCAGGCAGACAGAATTTCACCTCTGAGATTTCCATGCCTGTGGGAGGAACTCCAGTTCGGCTCCATCTCAAACAGTGTCCTTGTCCGATTTGATAAGATATTGGCTTCAGTAGTAACATAATCATAGAAGCTGTCTGACTCGTTCATTGCCAGTTTCTCTGCTCTGGCTAAAAGTTTCTCTTTTCGCTTAAATAACTTAAGTGGCCAACCTGTTTTTCCACATGACCACAAAGAACTGCAAAGCACGTATAGCAGTATGAGTGATGATGCATCCTTGAAGTTTCCAGCCTTCTCTAAACGATCAATCTCAAGTAAAATATCCCCTTTATTCATCACGATATTAGCTGTCTCTTTTACATCTTTCTCCAGCAATAATTCTTTTTCAGATAGACCTAAATTCCTAAGGAATGAATATTTTTCATCCATGGAGTTGAAGGAATCAACGAATTTCATCATGGAACTAAAATCTTGAAGTTGGTGATAGTGAAGGGCACCTTTCTCCAGAAACACATGCCAGATATCTTGACTTTTCTCAATCAAATCAACATCATCGAATTTGCTCCAGCGGCTGATCACTTGCAACCCCATGTCAAAAATATTTGCAACGGTGCAGACATTCAAGAACTTTAAGAAGCATTTGCCCCTTGAATATGCCTCAGCCGCTAATTTGTAACATTCAGCCAACATATAACAGTCCCCAGCATCTTCTAACTTTGCTTCTCCACATTTTGTTAAATATATATAAGCTACATAAATTATTGAGACATTACATTAACAAGATAATTTAAGATGGGTGTTACACTTCAAAAAGTACGCATCATATACTTAAAGAGGGAGAGAAATCAAAGGAAATAGAAAAATAATAATAACTTAACGATAAAGAAGTGGTGCAAATAAAAACGATGGATAACAAATACATATTTATGCAGAAGGTGGCATAGGAGAGAGAAAACTAATACAAAAATAAGGTCCCTTTGAGGGAAAGACAACTGAAGTAAGACAAAGTAAATTATATTTTTATTATCCATTTCCTATGATCTGAGGAAATTTGAATTTCTTGAAATCTTATATTTTGAGGAAATAAGGCCCCTTTTGCCTGCCTTCTCCTATTATAACCACTCTTAACAAACTCTCTTGCTACATATTATGCCTTGCTATCTAGTCCCATTAGGTTCCAATTATGATCCTTGAATGACCTTAGACTTTTATTTTAAACAACATACCAACTTCTCGTTGATTAATGAAAAGAAACAAAAGTTGTTCAGAGGAAACAATCTCCCAAGGGAGAGAGACGAAAAAGAAGAAAAGAGAAAGCAAGACCCCGAAGAGGGAAATAAAATCCCAAAGAAGAAGAAAGATAAAAGACAAAAAAGAACATGGAATAAAAGCTTGATAAACCACCCACTTAAAAGGAACTAGTCTTCGAAAGACTTTAATGAAAACAACTTCAGGAACATCTTTGAAAACAACTTCATGTAACAAGGTTATGTAATACTGAAACTTTAAACTCGTTCAGCTTCAAACTGCAAACTTGCTTCTATAAAGAACTTATAAGCAAAAGGTCCTTATTGTCAAAACCATTCTAACTCTAAGGTAAGAAAGGCTGACCAAGCAATGAAAAGAATGGAGCATCCTCTTCTAAAAACAACTCTTCAGGATGCAAAACCAAGAGGCTCTGCGTGAACCATCAAGAATGAAAAGAGAGAGTTCTTCAAAAAACCGAACAGACAACCAAGCAAAATAAAAGCTTCTCCCACAACACTTTCCAAAGAGAAATAAAGCCAAAATGAAAAGAAAACTGCTGCTTTTCCAAGAACCAGATGAAACTCTCCTTGAGAGCCGAGAAAAACTCTTAGACTTTAAACAACTAGAAGATTAAAATCATGTCTTCAAATTTCCAAATTGAAATTTTGTTACCTGCTGTTTTATATTCTTTCAACTCAATGAAGCACTTAGCAGCAACCTCAGCACGATCCATGGAAATATAAATTTCAGCAGCTTCCCGAAGAGCATTACAAGTCATTTGAGAATTTGAACCATCCAATATGCCAGCAGTTGCACGAAGAGAAGCAGCCCTCGCCAATTCTTTTCTATGCCTGTCTTGAGCTCTTTCAAAGCACAAAGATGCTGCCCCATAAACACCCTCAGAAAATAACTGCCATAATGTATAAAATAAAAACAAAATATGAAGAGAAAAAAACTTGCAACAGAAATGAGGATTGAATCAATTAACATTTCAATATCCTAACAACCAAACCAGTATATATATTTGCCTATATAGATATAAAGGACAAGTTCATATAACTAAAACTATTTGGAATTTCATATAAATTTATCCAATATGTTTCCACAAACCCCTCATCGGTCATCTGTTTGGTCAGTGAGCTAAGATTTTGAAGCCTTAGTCTTTTTCAACATTCTTTCAGAAGGGAGTGAGATTTGGGATCTCACCCAACAAGCGTACAAGGCTTTGTTTTGAAACTCTTTATCTCTCTTTCTTTTTTTCTTTTTTTTTTTTGACAAATAAAATAAAAGAATGAAAACGAAATTTTAACATAACAGTTACCAGTACAAGAACCCCACCTTCCAACTGCTCACACACCCCAAGCTATCGTTTCCCTTTACTGGGCCGTACAGATATTCCTTCAAATATTGGAAACAAGAACTACAACTACAAAAAACAGCTCGATACCAAAATGATTACAGACATTGTAATTATAAAGTATTTTGAGTAAGAACACCAAGAAGAACAATGAAGTTCAGCTAACTCCAACAGTTCTCCCATTCTCTTGATTTTTAATTGTACACTGTTATTTCATTTTAACCAAATAGCCAAAATAAATGCTTTGACAAACATTCATTCACATGATTTTAGCTTTTCCTTTTAACCCGTTTCCCCATAATATTTGTGCCAACTTATTATTCATTCAGAAATTAAAAGCCCAAGCAATATGTAACTCCTTATTAAGTCTCAAAATTTCCAGCCGTGATCTCAAAAGAACAGATTACTCAAAATTTCTACTGAATTTCTGCATAACAAACACCAGCTGGGCTAACCACCCTTTCTGGCATTCTTCTAAGTGGCATTAAATACACAGTGGTAAACTTTCCAACACTGCATTCACAAGTGTCAATCTCCCTATCAGACAAACATAAGTTCTTCCAGCTTCCTTTCCATCCTTTCCTCAACAATACTACAAAAAGGCCTTTCCTATCTGGACTATAACCAAGGGGCATACCAAAATAAGTCTATCCATCTTGCAGCCAAAAAGATCAGCATAATCATTATTGAGTCCAGCTTCTATATTGAACTCAGCATAATTCCAACAAAAAAGGAACGAGATACCATATCACCTTATCTAAAAACTCTTGAAGATTTTATTCTTGTTCTTGTTTTCCTTTTTATTTTTTGTTATTTTTTTATGAAAAACTAAAATTCATTACCAAGATGAAGAAAAAAAATATAAGGAAAGACCCACTAAAAGACAGGTCCGACCAAAACAAGGGAAAACCCTGCAAGAAAATTACAAAAACAGACCCCAACTTTTAGTAACAAAAAGTAAAGATTTGATATTTGAAGTTAAAGCTCCGCTGTCCGATATTTGGTTTAAAAGGAATCGAAGAATCTTCGAAGTGAAGAGTAAAGATTCGGTTGATGTTTTCAATTTAGCCAAGTTTAATGCTTCTCAATGGTGTGCTCTTTCTAATTTGTTTGTTGATTATTCTTCAAGTATGATTTGTTCAAGCCGGGAGACTTTTATAACTCCTTCTTAATCCTTGTTTCTGTTATTTTTGTTTCGTTTTTTCTTTCACTCCTTCGGGAGTTTGTATCTTTGAACAATTTTCTATTCCTTTTCATTAATCAAAGTTCGTTTCTTGTTCGGGGAAAAAAAGACTAGTAACAAAATAAATTAGAATTGAGAGCTCAAAGAGAAGTATTGGAAAAAGTGACATACCATACATCCTCCCATGTTTAGAAAAACTGAGAAACTTTGTTATGTCTTGCAAGGGTGTTATCAAACTGAAAATGGCCCCCTCTTGTTTTTACATCATGGAAAACTGAAAACTTTTAAAGAGAGCATGGGAAGGGTACATTTCCTAAGAAACCCATCTTTTCCCTCATTTCAGTATGCCCACCCCACTTGTTCCAGGACGACAAACAGCACTAGAAACTAATACTTGTCTAAAATTTCTAATAACTTTGGTTTTTTTTCCTTATTAAAGCAAACTAGAGAAACTTTTGTAATTCCCTTGGACCGTTCTTGGGTTAATATCCTTATCACCTTGTACCTTTTGGATATTTTTTTTTTTTGAAAATTGGGAGTCGGAGCTTTGCTCCCCTATACCCAGGGACACCCGCGCCCGCCCCAAGGCCCGAACCCCAGATACATTAAGGGTTTTTGATATTAAGCTCATAAGAAGGTTCAAACCTGAGACCTCTAAGCCATTATGACCAAGAGACCCCAAGCCCTTGCCAACTGAGCTGCCCCTTGGGGACTCTTGTACCTTTTAGATATTTTAAAGAAAGGATGAGTTTTTCCTCTCTATCTATGTATCTAATATACTAGAAGTACCTAGACTCCATATGAAGACTGTCAACAATTATTAGAATAATCAAGAGGGTACTTGTTATCAGTAATTTAGTATATGATCATGAATGCAGGAAAAGTTGATCAGACCTCAACTCCCACCGAACTCCACTCCTCTTTCATGCTTGGAACCTTCATTGCTTGTATGATTGAAGAATCCAATGTCTTGACTTGAATAAAACATAATTTTTTCCAATAGTCAACAATCGGATTGGAAAAGTCCTGTTTGTCTTCATAAATCCATAATCTTTGCCTCGGACGTGTAATTGCTGTATGGAGCAGCTTTAATTCCCAACATAAGTCCATACGTACAGGTTGATTGAAGTTTGGAGAACCAGGAGCCATTTCAAGCATATCTTGCTCAATCATATATTGATATATTACTCTCCACTGATGTCTCAGTGGCGATGAGTTGAAAAAGTTGTACAGCAAGACATCCTAAAATTGCAGGAGAACTAAGTCAGTGCATGGATAGTATAACCACCAGATTGTAAGTGGAAAGAATATTTTCTGTGCCTGTGGGGATTGGCTCAGAAATTTATTGTTAATATAAAGAAAGACCTTCAACATATAAACATACATTATATACAAAACAAAGGTATGAATGATTGTGCTTTAGATGATAGAAACTAGAAAGGTAACTGATACTTAAATGAGTACATGCCATAAACTGAGTTTTAAGATTTTTAAAATACTTGACATCATTTGTCCTCCAAACTAGAGAAGACTCTTAGAAACCAAATATATTTCCATTCAACGAGGATTTAAATCCAGCTATATCATTTCCACCAATATTTGTCACTCTTAACAGATTTATTAGATTTGAAAAGTAAAGAATTAATATTCACCTGAAACTCCAAGCACTGACACTCCATTATTGTAAGGACAATAGCTCGATTCCCTACATAAGTGGAGATCTCCTCCCTGGCATGCTCATCTCGAACTAGAATGACCTGTTTTGCTCCAAATTCATGAGTATCTGCTGGTATATTACCCCTCTCTTCAAATAAAACCTTCATCACGTTTTGACCTTTCCCAGTTTCAAGAAGAACTGGAGTTTCAAGATTGACAGAACTCATTTCACTTGTTTCAGGGCACAGTATATCAATAGATTGAGGAAAGAAGCGAAAAAGGAGATCTGTAATGCTATTAGCGAATTGGAGAATTTTGGGTTGTGTATGACAATTCTGATTTATGTGAAGAATGTCAGGGATTTTCATTAATCCTGCACTAACGTCTTTGCCATCAGGTTTTACTCTTGATACAAATTCCTTGTAGAACATAAATCTTATGTCTTGGAACCTGAAGCCAACACCCTTGGCAATAGTTTGAACTGTATTGGTTGAAAAAATAAAGCCCGAATTGACATTTCTGCACAGGTACTTCAAAAGAGCAATTTGCATCATAGAAAGAGCTTGCACCTCATCCACATATACAAAATCCATTTGTTCACCTGTATATTGTATAACTTCCAACCGATGATGAAGATCAATGACTAGATCAGCCAAATCATATTCCTCTTTTTCTTGCTTCATCTTTTCATAATCTAAAAATATATCATAAATTCTCTCTCTTTTCTTCCAGCTCAATGTGGATTGACCCCTGGAAACTCGAGTATAGTCTAGCTTACAAAGTCTACCATCGGGAGCTTCCTTTACTCCTAATCCACCTTTTATCTGGGAAGTGATTTCATTGAAAACCATGGTAGCATCAAGCTTGTTGGTTAGACGGCCATCAAAATAGGGCCAGTAAGATGAAGCAAAGTTTTTAGCAGTTACTTCCTTTGATACCATAAAATTATGGGCAGCATTTGATAATGAATCTTTGGACTTGCCGCAACTAAGTTTCCACTGTTTATGGAATCTAGCAAAGTACGAATCTCCCACAGTTCCATCAAGCATTATCAAAAACTTTCGAAATGTTATCACAAGAGGATATGAGTTGAATGGAATACCATCAAAGCTATTTGGAACATCCAAGAGAACTTGATCATCATTCATATCGAGCATATCAACTTTATTAAACTTCTGGTTCCTTTCTAAAATGTTCCCACTATCGTAAATTCTGCATATAAAAGAAACCTTTTATTTTATGGCTTAAACAAATAAAGCAAAATTCGATTATAATAAAAATAGAATATGTCAGAAACATAATTTCAGAAAGCTCAAGAAACATTATGAGATCATTCTTTGTGGTAAAATAACTGCATAGAGAGGAGGAAATGCAATCATCTTCTCAACCAACATAATATTTGTTCTTTGGAAGTGCAAGACTGCAATTATAAGCAACATGATAACTAAAACTTTTGTTCTATTCTAAAACCTAGTAGCCGTCTTTCTAGTTTTTGTTCAAGAAAACAAAATGACAATTCTATGAAGTGTTTCTTTGACTGAACAATTCGGATGCTTAATGAGAGAGACAACGTATAAGCTCATTATATGCTTTATAAGCTTCTTTAATTTCATTGTGCCTTTGGAGCTTGACTTTCAATGTTGGGCCATTTTAAGCAATTTAAATTCAGAAAGTCAATTACCTAACCTTTTTTATGTAAAGTTGTAAACTTACCCTTATTTAAACAAATTAAGAATTTTTCTCTCCTTCGACGTAAAAGCACTTTTATATCAGTAATGGAGAGTCTCATATGTGTTTGTCTAAGTCTAATGTATTATTTCAAGTCCTTTTCCAAACAGTGTAAGCCTTAGGAATGGTAATTTGACAATATATTAAAAAAAAATTGTTGAAGAAAATTGTTATTACTCTTCCTTGAAAAATTACAAGCAAAAAATGTAAAATATAAAACTAAAAAGGAAAAATAAAAAAAAGGAGAGAAGACTAGAAAGCTACCAAAAATATGTGGCACAAGGGAGAAAAATACGGGAAACTTGACTAAATAAGGAATAAGATCATAAAACTAATTGTCAACAATTCCCTTAATTAAGCCAGACTCCTCCATCAAACATGGCGTATGTAATTTAGCAAACAGAACCTAATGCATTTTTCACTAAAGGTATGACTGTAAAACAAGTATCAGAAAGTTTTAACAAACCTCTTCAAGTAGGAAAAGTGCTCCTTTACAGCATGACATTGTTTAAGAGTGACTGTGATAAAAAGCTGTCGCAGGAAAATCCTATCAGTCTTTTTGTCGTCCTCACCACCCTCATTTCTACAACTTATTTCTGAATTTTCTCTCGTTACCTCACTACATCCCCCGATATGGATCTTCTGCTGTTGTTCTCTCATAAACAGCTTTATTGTCAAAGCTGCAGTTTTTCCAGAACCAGGCCTTCCCATTATGAAGGCACTGGTAGGCAAAAGAATTATCTCCAATTGTTCATCTTCAACTTGGCATGGAAGGTCCAGTTCTTTAATATCACGGCCTGAAAGTAAGTGCTTTGCTTTTTGATAGGATAAAGACTGAAACTTCATCTGCAGAAAATTCTTTTTCAGAGTTAAATTCTTAGCATCATCACTGTCAGCTTCCAAACTTAAAATGGCATTTAGCTCAGCTTTCATGCTATCCTTATAGAGAACGATATCATGAGAAGCAGCACTCCATGAGACCGGAAACTCAAGATCCCTGGAGCCACATAAAATAAAATTGTGTGAAGCCAACATCATGTAATTGGTAAATATTTGAGTGAGCAATAATTTTCTAACATTTCACATTTAAAATGAGAAGACATGGATGTACCCTTTACGAGACTTTTCTTTACAATGACTTAGAAAGTCATCAGTATACAGCTCATGTATGCTGGTAAGGCAATCAACAAGTACTTTTACATCCGCCAATGGTTTGATATCCCAGATCTTTAGAACTTGGTTATACTTTGAATCCTTCTCAATATCCAATGAGAATATGATGAATAGACCTTCAACTTTAACACATTTTATTATGTTAGAAGATTTAGGGTTGGAGAAGCTGTCAGTTTCTTGGCGCCAGCCACTGGAAAGTCTGAGCAACATGACAATAATTGATTTCTTTTGGTTGATTGGGACTACTTTCTGGAATGATGCCCTAAAAGAATCACTTAGAAGAACCTGAGATTACCGGAAGATGAATTTGTTTGAGCACATGAAACATCGATTGGAATATTAATAAGCTGAAAGTATATATTAATATTGAAAATAACCAAGTGCTATTACACAAGGACAGAGTATTAAAAGATACATACCTTCCACCGAGACATTTTAAACAGTACGCTATCCTTTTTGAGTAAATCATCAAGCTCAAGCAGCACTTTCTTGACCTCTATTATAGCATCTGCCAAATCCTTGTCTTCCTCGGCATTGAAAAAACATTGACGATCCTTGGCATTTGAAACTACAGTTTCCCAATCAGAATTACTATTACCCAATGTTGTTGCATCTCCCACAACCCAAAGACAGTGCCTACAAAGAAAAAAATTCTAAAATGTAACAAGTAAAAGAATTTTAATATTACCAAAATATTACCAAAATATACATGGAGGATAACATTTATACCTAGCTCTTGTTAAAGCAACATTTATTCTCTGCGAATTGGAGATGAACCCAATATTTTTTCTCCTGTTGGATCTGACTGTGGACAATATGATCACATCCTCTTCACCACCTTGGAAACCATCAACAGACTTCACTTTTACAGAAAAATTGTCCCTCTTCTCATATTTGTGTCCAAGCTTGCCCTGAATTGCTGAAACTTGTGCAGCATAGAAAGAGATTACACCAATGCTGAGCTTTGTCTTGGCTCTCCTCCATGCTGAATATTTTTTTCATATGAAAGAAAGCCAATTCATTAAGGAGAGAAAGGAAGAGGAATTGGACAAAAAGAATCCAACTGCAAGCAAATGATCTAATTGAAAATACAAAACCTATCGCAAAAGAGATTAAAAAGATTTTTGAGTAATTATTGCAATGAATATGTTAATAATAAGAAAAGAAAATAATTCTTCCTTAATTACTCCAAATGATTGATACAAGGCTATATAAATAGCAGTCACAAAGAAAAAATTAAAAAGAAATTCTTGCCTATTAGGATAAGAAAATACTTACCTATTAGGACAATAAAACCCTAACCTAAATAAAATAGGAAACCTTCAAAATAAAATAAACTATAATTTAACACTCCCCCTCAAGCTGGTGAATGAATATTTTCCATTCCCAGCTTGTTAACCAAATGCTCAAAGTTGTTGTTGTTCAATCCTTTTGTAAGAATATCTGCTATTTGATTGTTTGTTGGTACAAATGGAGTACATATGAGGCCGCTATCTAACTTCTCTTTTATGAAGTGTCTATCAACTTCAACATACTTAGTTCTGTCATGTTGAACTGGATTATGTGCAATACTAATGGCAGACTTGTTATCACAATAAAGTTTCATAGGCCCTTCCTATGGAATCTTCAAATCTTCTAAAATAATTTTTATCCACAGTAATTCGCAGATGCCCAATGCCATTGCTCTAAATTCGGCTTCTGAACTTGATCTTGCAACTACATTTTGTTTTTTACTTCTCCATGTTACTAAGTTCCCACCAAAGAAAGTACAATAGCCAGAAGTGGATTTTCTATCGTCTATTGATCCTGCATAATCTGCATCTATATAAACTTCTAGATTGAGTTTCTCGCCTTTCTTAAACAACAATCATCTCCCAATGGAGTTCTTTAAATAGTGGAGTATTCGGTACACAGCTTGAAGATGAATTTCTTTTGGACTATGCATAAATTGGCTTACCACTCCTACAG